AAATCCGGCACTGAGGGACCGACAGAACTTCCAGAAACAAAAGGTTGGAAACAAGACAGGCCTGACAGAATGTCACCAGCTATCACACTGACGAAACCATCATGGGACTGGGATTGGGAAGTCTGAGTCTTGGAACACAAGTGCTAGTCTGACGTACTGTATGTCATAGGAGGGACTGACATTGGGAAGGTGCAGTCCTTCACTCAACACTTACAAGGGCCAGGATACACAGCAGAAAGCATGAATCACAAGCATTTCCAATCTGTTCACTATCCTGCTCTTGAAGTAATGAAACACTCAGTCAAGCATGAACCGAACAATAAGGAGAAATTAAGGGGAAATACATTTAAAGTACACTAACTGCTTCTTCCCATTCAGAATTGTTGGAGCCTGACCCAGCAAGCAACGAGCGCAAGGCAGAATACACCCTGGACGGGACACCAGTCCATCGCAGGGCACACACGCACACCACGGGCAATTCTCCCAGAAGCCAATTTACCTATGAGCACATGGAAGAACTGGGCAAACACAGGAACAACAAACTCCACACAAAAGACAGTCCAGGTACAGAACCGAACCTAGGGCCAGTCTGTTATGAACCCCTGCTCCACCACTCTGCAGTGCTGTTTTTCTTTTAGCACATAAGGCACTGGAGATAATTATGACAGCACACTCCTGACATGATATTTTAAGACAAAGTTGGGCCATATGTCATGGTCATTAATGACTTGAGCTGTGACTACACAAAGTTCAAGACAAAGCAGCGTAAGCCACATGGGAGAAAACGACTTATGAAGACAACAGCTTGTAAAGTTCAGAGGAGATCAAAAAGGACTGCGTCAGTGAAATAAAGAATTGAATATCCTAACCTGCATGTCAGAACACTGCAGCTAGTTTCAGACAGTTCTACAGGAATTTTCCCATTGGTTTTCGCTGATGAGTCTGCTGGTGACATTGTCCCAGCTGTCCAATTTCCTCTACCCGTAGACGCAGCAGTTACCCTCTTACCTGTCTCCGGGCCGGGGATGCGAGATGTATTGAACATTCGCTCCCACTGTGACGAGCAGAGCGGTACGGTGCTGCCCAGTGCGAAAATCTGTACCACAAGCACACACCATGTCCCGGCAAAAACATACCGTTGCATTTTACATGCAGGGTGTGACAGAGCGGACAGTAACAGTGCAAATGAAAAGAAAAGAACAACACAGAAACAGAAGAAAAGGCTGTTAAATGTGTTCAGAAGAGCTTCCACATTGCTGCAGGAGTTATAAACATAGCTGTTGTCAAGTAAATGGGGCAAGTCAGGTAAGATGGTCTCTTTTCAGTTTCTAAACTTTCATCGATACCTTTAAATTTCAAAGAATTATAGCTCTGAACAGGCAGGGAATTCTGATCAATTATATGACGGATTGTCACCACACCATGAATCTCAGGGACACATGCTGAGGTTTCAGAGCACTTCAACACATTGCATCTTAAAAGAAACAGGTTAGCGCTATGCATTATCCCAATATTATAATCTTAGTCTTCTATATAATAGCCACCTTTCCGGGAGGAATTGCAGATATACGTGCATTTCAGATTACAAAAGGCGCCTTTAGGTTTGGATTTAATGAGAGGAAAAATTACACTTTTCTCTAAGGTTCAGAGAAAACTTTAAAAAACACATACTGTATTACTTGTAATAGAAGACAATATGCTACGAAGGTAACACTGTGAATATGACAGTAACACAATTCTGATGTTGTACTAAATAATAACTTGGTAATGCTGTGCATTTATCAATCAGATGCCTAGGCTGTGGAAATTTTAAAATACAGAAATGTCAGAAACTCCATCTTCAGACTTAAAGGGCTTTAAAACACTAGGACCATCTTACCCTTGTTGGTATAAACATATCCAGGAAACAACTCTATCATGAAACCTGTAGAAACCTGCAGATGTGTAGCCCAGCTGGATGATGCGACAGGAGCCACAGTGCACCAGTACGCCCACCGCACACCAGCTGATGAGCTCCAGTGTGCTGCCAGTTGTGAGTTGCAGGGTGATATGGCTGCTGGCAATATGTTCATATTTCAGCTGTTTGGCTGCATCAGCATTATTTTCCTGATTTGGCTTCCTAGAAAAGGTTTCCTGTGGATTTTAGAATAAAATCCAAAATCCTGTCGCTGCCCTTTAAAAGGGCTTGCAGTGTCTGGCACCTGACTACGTCTGTGACCTGTTGCCTCTTTATACACATACACCTCATTTGTGGTCTTTGGACTCTGGCCTTCTACCAGTTTCTACCCTGTGTCCTGTTCCGCTGCTCCAGGGCCATGGAATGAGCTCTCATCCCATATTAGATCGTTCAAGTCAGCCAGCATCGTTAACTCCTGTCTTAAAACCTCACTTTTACATTCACACTTATAATTCCCTTTATTATATTAAAACACCTATCCACGTGTTTTTAATGTTTCTGCATGAGATTTGCTTTATTGTAAAGTGCCTTGAGATAATGCGCCATTATATAAAATGCTATAAATAACCGCGGTTGGCACTAGCTCTGCAAAAAAGCCAAGTTGTTTTACTGTATTGTTTCTTGGCTATCATTCCAAAACCAAAATCAAATTATATCTTGCATTGTTAATGGCCGAATACTGCAGGTACACATACCACAGGGTAACTATGGACTTACTGGCTTAATCTCCTCTCTGTCCAGCTTTCTTCTGTACAGCATGATGGCGTGGATTGTGTTACCAGCTCTGGCCGCCTGCAGCCTGGTTGGAGTGACATAAAGAAAGTCCTAAGGAGAGAAACATGAATAAGATCAGTCCTCACTGAGAGCTGCTTGTTCCCTCGTCTGCCTGTTTCTGGAATGAGGACCTGAAAAGGCTGAAGTGGGGCTGAGGAGCAGAGCTGTCACAGGGTAGGCTCACATTACCCCTTTCTCTTTCCTGCTGCATTGTTCTCTTTGAGGCTCTGATTACTGTGTAAAATACCCCACTATGCAACTTTCTAAAATCTGTCCTGTTTCTGTCTGAAGGTATGTTGATCCCATCCATGCATCCATTTTCCAGCCACTTCTTCCGAGTCAGGGTCATGGGGAAGTTGGAGACCATTCCGGTAAGCCACTGGACTGGACAGAAAGCACCCCAGCTCCAGGACTGAACCCAGGGCCCCAGCGCTGCAAGGCAGCGATATTAATCACTGCGCTGCCCTCTTGTTGATTACAATAAAACCGAAATAAATTCCTACTGACGGAATGTTAAATCAAACAACATGGTGAGTAAGCAACAAATAAAAAACTGATGTTATAACACAAAAAGAATGTAAGCAAGTTACAAAAACAACAGGCGTGAAATTCCTAAACCTTATGTCGCCCTGCCCAGTTTAACAAAATGAAACTGCTGCATTCCCTAATTATATGTGTGATTAACCAGAATCTGAGTTTTTCTGTGGTCAGACATTTTCCCCTTTCTGAGCCCTTAACTCATGCGGTTTCCACACTGCATGTGTTTACAACGAAACATAGTGTTCCAGCCAGCGGCAGTGCCCTGAGAGAGTGACCTGAGAAAGGTCTGGTGTTGTCATGTGCTCTCGAAATGGACAGCGGTCAGTCTGTAGTCACACTCTCTCACATACCTGCTCTGTGATGCATGAACAGCAGCTCGTTTCAACCTCTTCTCTTAACTGAAGCCCTTTTCTAAAGGCTTTTCAGCAGGTCATCGACATTAAACAAACTTAATTGTAGTACCAACATTACAAACACCTCAATTATTCGAAATAATCTAGACCAGATTTCCAGTCTCTGACTAAAGAGCAATAACAGACCATCTCAGTGAAGATACAGACCACCAAAACAAAAGACTAAACTTCCACTTGATAAATTAGCTCAATGTAGACTGAAGGCCTGTTTAGAAAAGACCAGGACACACTTAGTGACTTGAATGTAATTTCCCCTGAACAATACCCTTTTCAGAACACCAAACAACAAAACGAATATTTAACAGCAGTTTTAAATGAATCTAGCTACAGGATGAATTCCATTAACTCAAAACATAGAACTCATAACTGATAAGAGGTGTTGCAATAATAATAACCTGCCTAAGCCAATTTTATATTACATATTTTATCAAATGTCACAAATTGTTATAATAAATTTATGTTGATGTATTATAACTGTTATACAGTGTATATGTTATACAGTGAGACCATATAGCTATATTCCATGAATAGTAACAGATGCAAAATGTAGGTCTAATGTCATTTATACAAGTATGCTGTCATTAGCCTAGCTTTATAAATTATATTAGGCCTAATAACACTGATATGACTGAAGGCATAAGTAAAATAAAACTTTTGCTCCAATTGTATCTTACACAACATCACTGGCCTTTTACCAATTTTCTATCATGTACCTGTGCTTTTCTGAAATCCGGGCTGACAATGTGCTCACGCAGCAGTGAATTAGTAAATAAACAGTATTAACAGGCTCCCTGAAAGTGGCAAAGGTCTCTATTATGTAATGCAAACACAAATAGAGCACATACAAAAAACAGACTTCTTTCAGGGTCAACGTTAATTCCTAAATGTTTTTTTTGTTTGTTTAAAAATAAAAAAAACTAACATTATTTGACTGTGAGATGTGTTCGTCAACTCTCAATCCACAAAGCAATAAAACCCAGTGTCGACAAATGGCTCAGAAAAATGTAAACGTTTTCTAAGTCTAATGAGCTAATGAGCACAACAGACCTCATTTGTTTTCAGTGTGTTTGTGAAGTATATCAGTAGCAGAGACACATATATGGTACAAGCACAAACATGTGTGATACTACAACATATTTCACAGAACACGGTTTTCTGGTGAGCTATAAACAATGAAGAATATGAGAAGTTCAAAGTTCACCAGAATGACTGCCAAACTTTAGAAGGGCCTTTAGCACTTGCCAACTTCACACTCATGAATGAAACACCCATGAACTGAATAACCCACTATAAAATACTGTTTTCTTATCACTCCAACAACACAGATGGTCCACGCCAAGAGCCATATCTTTCCTAATTACTTTAAGATATTAGAAACCACAGAACACAAGCAATTACTGGGCATGTGTAATCACAGATTAAAATCTGAATAATGGGAAACCCACACCCCTCTGACAACATTGTCAACAGGCCTTCCAACGAAAGGTCTTGTGTTCTTGTTATTGGCTTGTCTTAAAAAGTGTACTGTACACTTGTCCATTATTAATAGGTGAATTTAAGAATTAAAATAAATAGTAAAATAACTGTAGAAAGCATATCGGTATTGAATTTAAGACTATTTAACAGTACTTCTACCTTTTTACAAACTGTACCAAAAAGGAATTTCCTGGTTCTAAATAAATGGGATACAGAATAATGTATGTTGCACATTTTCTGGCCAGTTGTCTGTTTTGATATGTTCCAGGAAGAAAAGGTGATGACCAAACATAAATGAACTGAACTGAGCAGACACTTCCCCTTTAAAAAACATTTTCAATTTTAAAAACCGAGAACGAAAGTGTCACCTAATGTGTATCCTATATGTGCAACTGCAGGTTTCCTGTGAATTTCACTGATTCCTCACCATAGCGTAGTAGTTGCTGTTGACCATGATGGGTCCGCGCCCTCTGAGGTAGATGTACTCTTCCCACCAGTCACTCACCTGGAACACAAGGCAAAGCAATTAAATACAGACAAACATGGCTGCAGTGGGAAAATTTGTGTAAGCATTTCTCTACTGCTACAACTACTAGTACTACTACTACTTATAATGATGACTTACATAATTAGTGGCCCACCAGGATTTCAGATTTAAATACCACTGGAGTCGAGGGCCCAAGTTTGCTTCAAAATCCTTCGCTAGAGCCTCCATCCTTTTGTACTCCTCGTCGTCCATGAGAGGACG